CGGTATTTTTATACTTGTGAAAGACTGTTTTATCCTGGGGGCATCCGGTTTGGTACGAGCTGCTTGCACAAGTTTGAGGCAGTGCCGCGAATGTTCTAAAGAGAGCGACATAGTCCGCGACTCAGTCTTATTCTCGGTAACATTGTTCTTACTATTTTATTTGTGCAATTCCGTTTATAACAATTTTAGAACACTCGTTTCTGCCTTCGTGAACACTATGTCTACCGAAGAAATGACTATGTCTGCTGACCTTAACAAGCCCTTTCGTTTTGAGGGCGCTCACTTTAAAAGATGGAAACAGAAAATGCAATTTTTCTTAACTGTCAAAAGGGTTAATTCTGCCTTAACAGCCCCTCGGCCATTTATTCCTGATAATGCTCCTGAAGATGAATTAGCTTACTTGAATAGTGAAATCGAAACCTGGAATGAAACTGATTTCATGTGCAAAAACTATATACTTAATGGTATAACCTCTATGACTATTATAATATGGAAAATACTGCTAAGGATTTGTGGGATGCCCTACAAAAAAAGTATGATACTGAAGAAGCAGGTGCCAAAAAGTATGCTGTCAGTAGGTACCTAAAATTCCAGATGACTGATGATAAGTCCGTGGAAGTGCAGTCTCACGACCTTCAGAAAATTGCCCATGAGATAATTTCCGAAGGTATGGCCCTTGATGAACAATTTCAAATTGCTGTTATTATTGACAAGCTGCCTCCTTCCTGGAAAGATTTCAAAAATAATCTCAGGCATAAGACTAAGGAATTCTCCTTAGAGAGTTTGATCACTCGGCTACGTATAGAAGAAGAATCCAGAAAACAGGATCTAAAGGAAGAGATTTTACAAATCTCTGCTAATAATGCTCCTAGGCGATCTGCTGCAGTACTTAAACCTGCTGGTAAGAATTTCAAACCTCAGAACCGGAAGAATAACTTCAATAAACCGAATGTTCAAAAGAACAATGGAAGACAACAGTCTCAACCCCCTAAGAATGGTACTGGTCAATTTCTGTGCTATCGGTGTGGAAAACCAGGCCATATGGCACGAAAGTGCAGGAACATGCCTAACCCTGTGCCTGCGCAGGCTAGCATGATTGAAGAGCCTTTTGTGGCTATGATTACTGAGATCAACCTTACTGGTGGATCAGATGGGTGGTGGATAGACATTGGTGCCACACGCCATGTCTGTTATGATCGTCGAATGTTTAAAACATACACTGAAAAGACCGATGATAAGAAAGTAATGTTGGGTGATTCCCATTCCACTAACATTGCTGGTGTTGGAAATGTTGAGTTGAAATTTACTTCTGGCAGGACTCTCATTCTGAAAGATGTGTTACACACTCCGAAAATGAGGAAGAATTTAGTTTCTGGTTTTTTGCTTAATAAGGCTGGTTTTATACAAACCATAGGTTCTGATTTGTTTACTTTAACTAAGAATGGAATATTTGTAGGAAAAGGATATGCTACTGATGGCATGTTTAAACTGAATGTTGAATTTAATAAAATTTCTAATTCCGCTTATATGTTGTGTTCTACTATTAATGTTTGGCATACTAGACTTTGTCATGTGAACAAAAGACTCATAAAAAATATGAGCAATTTAGGCCTTATTCCAAATATCTCTCTCAATGACTTTGACAAATGTGATTCTTGTAGTCAGGCTAAGATTACAAAAACACCTCATAAATCAGTGATTAGAAACTCAGAACCATTAGACTTAATTCATTCGGATATTTGTGAACTAAATGGAACGTTGACCAGAAATGGACAACGATACTTTATCACCTTTATTGATGATTGTTCTGATTATACTTGTATTTATTTGATGAAAAATAAGAGTGATGCTTTTGAAATGTTTAAGTTGTTTATAACAGAGTTTGAGAATCAGTTTAACAAGAAAATAAAAAGATTACGAAGTGATCGTGGAACTGAGTATGATACTGATGCTTTTGTAGAATTTTATAATTCACATGGTATCATACATGAAAGGACAGCTCCTTATTCCCCAGAAATGAATGGAAAGGCTGAAAGGAAAAACAGGACCTTTACAGAATTAGTAGTTGCTATTTCCTTATATTCTGGTGCTGCTGATCATTGGTGGGGTGAAATTCTACTAACTGTTTGTTATGTCTTAAACCGTATTCCAAAGACTAAGAGTAAGGTTTCTCCCTATGAAATACTTCGTAATAAACGACCTAACATTTCTTATTTCAGAATTTGGGGTTGTCTAGCATATGTTAGGATTCCTGATCCTAAAAGAGTTAAATTAGCTAGTAGAGCTTATGAATGTGTATTCATTGGATATGCTATTAACAGTAAGGCATATAGATTCTTTGATTTAAATGCTCGTGTAATTATTGAATCTAATGATGTTGATTTTTATGAGGACAGGTTTCCTTTTAAATCTAGAAATAGTGGGGGTTCGTCCACCTCTATTATTCCTAAAGTCAGGTCTAACTCACAAGAATTGGATGCTGAACCCGAACTAAGAAAGAGCAAGCGGGCTAGAGTAGCAAAAGACTTCGGCCCAGACTTTGTAGTTCTTAATGTAGAGGAGGATCCTTCTACCCTCCAAGAAGCTCTAACCTCAGTTGATGCAGATTTATGGCAAGAAGCCGTGAACGACGAAATGGACTCACTTGAGTCTAATCGAACTTGGCATCTAACTGAGTTGCCACCAGGCTGCAAGTCAATTGGTTGCAAATGGGTCCTAAAAAGAAAGCTGAAAGTTGATGGGACCGTTGATAAGTTCAAAGCCCGTTTGGTAGCTAAAGGCTACAGACAGAGGGAGAATGTTGATTTCTTTGATACCTATTCACCTGTAACTAGAGTAACATCTATTAGAGTACTAATATCTCTTGCTTCTGTTTTTAATCTTGTAGTACATCAGATGGATGTAAAAACTGCATTCTTGAACGGTGAATTGGAAGAAGAAATCTACATGGATCAACCGGAAGGATTCGTTGTTCAAGGAAAAGAGCATCTGGTATGTAAGCTAGATAAATCTCTTTATGGTCTCAAACAAGCACCTAAACAATGGCATGAAAAATTTGATAACTTAGTCATCTCACATGGTTTTAAGATAAATGGTAGTGACAAATGCATATATGTAAAATTTGAGAATGACATATGCACTATAATTTGTCTATATGTGGATGACTTGTTAATTTTTGGCTCGAACATTCATGCTGTGAATGATGTAAAGCTATTGTTGAATGCTGAGTTTGACATGAAAGACCTAGGAGAGGCTAATGTAATCCTTGGAATTAAGATTACTAGGACAGAAAATGGAGTTTCTTTGGATCAATCTCATTACATTGAGAAAATCCTAAAGAAATATGGTTACTTTGACTGTAAACCTGCTAATACACCTTATGACTCCAGTGTTAAATTATTTATGAACACTGGTGATGCCGTAAGGCAATCTGATTATGCGAGCATCATTGGCAGCCTTCGGTATGCCACTGATTGTACTAGACCCGACATTGCCTATGTCGTGGGATTGTTAGGCAGGTTTACTAGTTGTCCTGGTAATGAGCATTGGCATGCTATTGAAAGGGTCATGAGATACCTTAAGAGGACCATGAACCTAGGGTTGCATTATGAAAGGTTTCCAGCTGTACTAGAAGGCTATAGTGATGCTGACTGGAACACCTTATCAGATGACTCTAAGGCTACTAGTGGATATATTTTTTCTATAGCCGGTGGAGCTGTATCTTGGAAGTCTAAGAAACAGACTATTTTGGCTCAGTCCACCATGGAGTCAGAAATGATAGCACTAGCTACGGCTAGTGAAGAAGCACGTTGGTTAAGAGGCCTGCTAGGTGAAATTCCCCTATGGGAAAAGCCATTACCGGCTGTCTTGATCCATTGCGATAGTACCGCGGCTATTGCAAAAGTTCAGAACCGTTATTACAACGGTAAGAGACGACAAATACGTCGTAAGCACAGCACTATGAGAGAATATCTCTCTATCGGAGCTATTAGAGTGGATCACGTACGCACTGAGAATAACTTGGCTGATCCTTTGACGAAAGGATTAGCTAGGGAGAAAGTCCATTTTTCCTCTAAGAAAATGGGACTATTGCCATTGAAATGAACCACACATAATGGTAACCCAACCTATGAACTGGAGATCCCAAGAAATAGGTTCAAAGGGTAATAACAAGTTATGGTGTGATATGAGTTGAATATGTTCAAAAGACATAATTTCCTGAAGCGATCAAGGATGAGTTAATAGGAACTCTTAATGAAATCTATACTCCAATTTGGAGTGGAGTACCAAGCTACAGGAGTACTCTTGATAGATTCACCTATGTGAATGTGGAAGTTAGGCCGCTTCCTATGAAATGTGTGGCAGCATTTCTAGAGCATTCACTACATTGGGATAGACGTGCATGGCCGAAATAGCACAGGTCTAGAACAACACCAAGAGTAGGTTGTGTGTGGTACTTTGTCAGAGATAGGGTTTAAAACTTCGAGTCACCCTTGTTGAATCTGAATCGTACTCACTACGTAGAAGTTCAAGTTGAAAAACACTTCTGTTTATGCGCAACCTATATATGTATGGATTCTGCTCGAAAATGTTTTCAAAAAATTCAAGTGGGGGATTGTTGGAACAACAAGTGTGTAGTGTGTGAATTTTGTGAAAAAAACTCAAAGTCCCACATTGGTGGGAAATGAGAGTTTTACTCTCTTTATAATATAGAGAGTGGGCTAAAGGGGTGTGGCCCTTGGGCTACCCACATTTTGTGGAGAGGGAGGACCTATATGGTAAACCATATATCACACACACGCGCGCCGAACCGAGCCGAGCCGGGCTGGGCTGGGCTGGGTCGGGTCGGGTTTGGGTTTGGGTTATTAAACAAACTTAATTTTTGTTACCGGTTTGATTAATATTCAGTTACAAAACGTTTTACTGTTTTGGTTTAAATTTTTCTGTTACATTGCTTGATTCTCGTTGCTGTTTTACTGCTAAACGTTGCACCGTTACACTGATTTAATGCCTTGATTCTTGCTTAACGAATACACTAATTGCAGTAAACGTTGCTAATCTTTCTCCCGTTTTCATGCTTAAGCTGTTACGTATCTTTACCTATAAAAGGACGGTTCCAGCTTTGTTTTTAAAAACACGGAAAAAAATACAGAAAACCACTTTGCAAAATATATTTTCTCTTCCTCTCAAAACAGTCGAGCTGTTTCTTTCTGATTTTCTGGTGTTCCGTTGTCCGGTGGTTCGGTGCAAAACCGCCGGTATTTTTATACTTGTGAAAGACTGTTTTATCCTGGGGGCATCCGGTTTGGTACGAGCTGCTTGCACAAGTTTGAGGCAGTGCCGCGAATGTTCTAAAGAGAGCGACATAGTCCGCGACTCAGTCTTATTCTCGGTAACATTGTTCTTACTATTTTATTTGTGCAATTCCGTTTATAACAGTTTCGGATCCCTCAACGCTAGTCACTTGACTAGGCATCTAGGATGCTCAGTTATGAGATCAGTGGTTTTCTTGTTTTACTAGTCATTTGTTCTTACTTTTGTTTGTAATGCTAAAATCTACATGTTACCAAACAAATTTCATCCTTTCTCCAATAAAAAAAAACAATGTATCAGCAACACCAGAAAACCTTTGAGAAACATTCTAGCATAAATCAATAGGAATCAAGGAATGCAATTAGATATGCGAAATGAAACATTCAGGTTGGGTCCATAATTTTCTGATCTAGGTCATAAGCAGGTATTGTCATTTCAGTCTAGGCTGATAACGTGTAAGCACGACCAACTTCTCTTGTCTAGAGGTACATTTAAGTAGAACGCGAATCACTTCATTTTCTTTTTCTCCATTGAAGCGTCTTCATAAAGAACATCTAATGTTATCACCTAATATAAAAAAAAATATTTAAGTTATTAAGCAACTATGCAAGGCTAACTACAAGTCACTAGTAAAAATATCCTAATTTATTCCATAGTATATACTGTTGTTTGGTCAATGGATATCTATTTAATATTTCTAGACTTCCTACAAATCTTTTTTTTTTTTTTTTGGCTCTTCATTTGGTGCTACCGATAACTTAATTTACAAACAGATGAAAGTACAGATCTTTCTTTTTCACAGTTCTTTATCCTTAGTATAGCTACATTCTACAGTTATTATCAACGATGCAATTCTACCTCATTGACTTTATAAACACACAAAACACACAGGGCTAAACCTTACCAACCTCCTACTAGTAATTATAATTAATTTTGCTACTTTATGATGTTCGATTGTTCGCTGAACATGTACCAATTCCATATGAGTAAATTAGAGCATGTTTGGTAACAAAAATTTTTTATATGGAAACAGACCAATAAACCATTATCGTTTACTGAGTGCTTTGATTAAAGGGTCTAGGTAACAATTACCTTAATCTGAGGGTAATGTTATCCACCTATTAATTACCACTTTACAACTTTTAGTATAGATTTTCATGACCCTTCTCAAACACACAAATTTAAGTGATTATATTCCATGAATAAAACAAAATAAATAAAATGATAGAGTTTATTGATTCCTCCTCCCCCCACCCCCTTTTACTTGATTTCTTTTTATTCTGTTTTCAATGTTTCTACCAAAAGACTCCTTAGATAAAATCAAATCAAATTCTCTGCAGTACGGGAGTATAATGTTGCAATAGATGACAAAAATTAAAGAGGGGTACTGGTAATTCAGTTACTTTAAAAAAACATGAAAGAAACACCAAAAAAAGCAGAATAATTGCACAAAATTACACTGTAATATTGACTAAAAGAATAGAATAAAAGACTACCTTATACAATAGATTCATTAAGGTGTATGCTGCAAGATGGTTCAGTAACAGATTGCAATATTGTTTACTAAAAAGATCGGTTCAGTAGCTTCAGTCATACCCTATTTCCTTTTCCTATTTAGCAGGCACTTAATAAATTCACAAAAATCAGAAGGCTGTAAACAAGCAACACAATATGACACATCCTATAGAAGTAGACATAGTAACACTGCATCTTCTTTCTTTAATATCAACACTAGTTCAGACAATTGAAAACACATAAAATGTTTTAGTTTTTTCTAAAATCTCACCCCAAAAACAATGGCTTATAAGATCATAACTATCGAGCTAACAAGAAAAAAAAAAACACATGGCTCTACTTGATAAACTCAATCGGAACCATAGTATTTCCTCATATCAATGGTAAAGAGAACGTAAGTTGAAGAGGATAAGGCTGTTCAGTCTACAGCCATAATTGGCTCCAGCGTTTTTTGTATATAATACTATGGAAAGAGCAGTGTTCAAAGAAGTAAAGAGCATCAATAGTTGTGACCTTGTGATTTGACAAAAAGAATATTCAGCATCTCCAACAATTAGAATATCGTTGTTATGTATGAAGGTCAAACTAAAACATCAAAGCATCTTATAGGAAGGAGCACAAGTATCACATACCTGAAGTATTGGCCCAACTTTGAAAGAAGCCATCACTTCCTCTTTTGCCACTAAGGTAAGAAGTGGGATAAGAGCAAATGGAATTTGTATAGATTGGAGCACATTAAGCCATTCATTCAGAACATCCAATGTAGCTTCAGATGTATTAAAAACTATAGCAATAATCATAGTTGGCACTATGGCAAAACTCCGTGTGATTAATGCCCTTAGCCATTTCTTCAAGCGAAGGTCGAGAAAACCTCCCATGATAAACTGCCCAGCATAAGTGCCAGTTATGGTACTACTCTGCCCAGCAGACAATAACCCAATCCCCCATATGTACAAAATTGGCAATAATCCTCCTCCGTATTTCTCCTCCAAGTATTGTCCAGCATTCACCAAGCCAATGCTACTCGCTTGTTTCGTGCCATAAAATCCCTTAGCAAATACGGTAGTCAAGAATAAATTTATCATGAAAGACACTAGAAGGGCTATGGTGGACTCAATTGAGTAATAATTAAGGGCCTCCTGCACATGTCCTTTCTTCTTGGGATCTATTTTCCTCGATTGCACCAATGCAGAATGCAAGAAAACGTTGTGTGGCATTATGACACAACCAACAACTCCAACAGCTTGCCGGATAGTTTTTGAGCTTAGTTTAGGCACTAGAACACCTGCAAAAGCAGTGTCAACATGTGATATTATGCATTTGCTAAATGAGCGAGGTCAGCAGCCAAGCACTAACTATGACTAGGATAAACTATCGCTGTAATTACCTATAAGAAGTTCCTTTCCGCTGGGCTTTGCATCAGCAAACATCCAAGCAAATGACAGAGCCATTGTCCCAATGAGAACTGCAAAAACAGCTTCTAGTTTCCTCACTCCGTAGTTCTCAAGAAATAAAAACATGAAACTGTTCGCAGCAAAGATTTAGTAAGTCAATGATTAGCCATGCCCACTTTACACTTACAACTTCAAGTAAAAACATTGGCATGTAGAATCCCCATCGACACACACGAATTCACACACACAAAAAAAAAATGTATATATAAAAATAAGAGTACTCAACTACACAAAGAAACCATAACATGACCAAAGGGATAGGGATTGTTCTAAACTCATTTTAGCAATAATTAACAACATTCAACGCCCTTTTTTTTATTCAAAAATGTACTTTGGTACGTTAAATCCTGTACCAATGTCTAAAATCATGGTTGTATCCCATAAATCAAAATACAATTAAATATGCAAGTATATATGAGCTACAAAGTAAAATATGATTACTAAATGTCGGTTCCTATACTAGCTCAAAATTTTAAGAATAGTTGAAGAAAATGTATTATCTCCGTTAATGGTTATGTTTATGTATTATTTGTGAAATTGTGAGATATAAAAAATTCTAAATTTGCAGATAACCATTAAAGGAGGTAGTATTAAAACTCACCAGTCAGACGCGGTGATGATAACACCAGCCCAAAGGGGCAAAACCCCACGGCTAAGTATCTGAATAGCAATTGCACTTCCAATAACCTCTTGAATATCCGCCCCAATGAGAGCGATTTCTGCCATGATCCACAACAAGTATCGCGCCCAATTCGGGTATTCCTCTCTACAAAGCTCAGCTAAATGTTTACCAGTAGCAACTCCGATTCGAGCCGAAAGCAGCTGAATCAAAAGCCCCATTGCCGTAGCCCAAAGCAATAGCCACAACAATGAATACCCAGCAATAGCTCCTGCTTGTAGATCCCCTTCTAAATTACCCGGATCTAAAAATGCTATACTCATCAAAAACCCTGGACCTGTAAATCGCCATAGTTTCTTCCATGAAAAGGGTCCTGGAGTTGTGTAATCACTGAGCGATTCGACATCGAAATCTTCTATGCATATTTTCTCGCCTGATTCGTACGCAACTTCTGAATCTTCCTCAAGTTCTTCAAATAACTCGATTGGTTTTTTTGGATTTTGGGGTAAAAGTTGATTGGATTCTGAAAATTTATCGTCGTCATTGAATTCAGCCGTTGATTCCATCACCATTCAGTAGTTCAATGGATTTTGAAAGTGGCCAAAAAAAATGACCAGAGATTAAGCTATATGGTGATAAAGATTAACTAGTAGATGATGAAGCACAGGTATATTGATTTCGTCAGGAGATTTCAAAAGCGAGATTTAGTCGAGAATTTAGGAAGGAAAGACGTCGCTGTTTATTTGTCTAAATTGAAAGGGGTGGCTTGTGTTGTGCTCGTGGCGTTATAACTTGTGACTTGGACTTAGCTGAGTTGGATTCTTTCTATTGGCCAGTGAGTTAAAGGTGAATGACTGGACTGACCGATTGTTAGAGGTTATATAAACGGAGGGTTGAGAGAGATTTAGAATTGTCTTGCAGGGGTAGATTGGTCATTTTATGCAGGATTTAAATTTTACCATTTTAGATTTAGCGATACAAAATACAATGTTAGTGGTACAAAATACAATTTTAGTAGTATTTAAAAAAAAGTTCAAATGTCTAATTACACTGTCAAATAATACCATTACATTTCAATGGTACAAAATACACTTCCAGTGGTACTCAATATGGTTTTAGTGATACTTATAAAAATCCTCATTAGTACAAACTATACTCTCAGTAGTTGTGGTCCCAATTTTTTTTTTTTTGTCGTTTTTGCACGTGAAACCATTTCTGAAAAGTTTTAGTGGGACTCACACCACCTTTTTCACTCTTCATATTTCTCTCCTCCTTTCTCTCTCTTCTTTTTACTTTTATATTATTTTAATGGTTGTGAGACATTTGCTGTTTCACAACCCTCCATTTTTACTTCCTCCGGATTGTTATGTAGAAATGGAGATATTCTAGACGGAGGGTTGATAGAGATTTAAAATTATCTCGCAAAGGCAGGTTGATCATTTCACACGGGATTTAAATTTTGTCATTATAAATTCAGTGGTACAAAATATACTCTCAGTGGTACAAAATATAATCTCAGTAGTATTATAAAAACGGTTCAAATGTTCCATTAAGGTGTCAATTAATTCCATTTCACTAGTACAAAATATAATCTCAGTGGTATACAATACAATTTTAATGGTACTTACAAAAATTCTCAGTGGTACAAAATATACTCTTAGTAGTTGTGGTCTCAATACTTTTTTTGTCTTTTTTGCACGTTGAACCATTTTTGACCTTTCAGGTGGACCCCATCCCAACCTTTTTTCACTCTCTCTATATCTCTCTTCCTTTCTCCCTCTTCCTTGTACATTGTTACATTATTTTATGTTATGAGACATTTTCATTTATCTCACAACCCTACATTTATACTTCCTCGTAGAAATGTATAACAACGGGTTGTAGCTACATATATGTACAAACGAATGCATACCCTTGAATCGTTGAATGATCATTAATACCACTGAACATATGATAATTTTTTTTTTGAAAGAATTTAATTCCCGATGATACTATATATGCATATAGTGATATTATATACGCATTTAATTGTACTAAATTTATGCATAGGTACTACCGCTAAAGATTCAATGATATTATATAAGATTTTAGTGGAACAATTAACATGTCCTCCATCACGTGAGATAATATGACCAAAAAAATAGGTGGGGTCCACTTAGGGCCTGTTCTCATTGACTGAATTCAGCTGAACTGGACTGAACTGAACCTGAACTGAACTGAGCTGAGCTGAACTGAACAGAACGGAACTGAACTGAACTGAGCTGAACTGAATATTTTATAAGAGAAGGAAATTAGGAGCTGAACTGAACTAAACTAAGTTGAGCTGAACTGAACTGAACTGAATTGAACTGAACTGAACTGAATTTCAACGTAAGAAAACAGACCCTTACTGACCTCTTTATTCCTATATATCTCCTCTTTTCTCTCTTTACCATGTGTTTTTAGAATATTTTAATTATTGTTTTGTATTTACTAATGCATAACATTCCTCCACTACTACTTCCCCCGACCCGATAAATTGATGGCTTCCAAATAGGAGATATTTCAAAGGAGGAAGTAGTAATCGAGGTTAGATATGAATGGGAACATACATAAGATGGCATTATTATAAATAAAATGCAACTTTTGTGTGACGGGAAGTGAAATTGAGAATTGTACATTATAATTTTGTACCAATGTAAGTCCTACAGTGTAAGTAATTTTTCAAACTCAACTTTGATCCCCACTATGATCATGTTTTTAAATATGGTGGCGCCCAAAGAGAAATAAACTAAAAATAAAAGAGTCGACAATAAGTTTCAGGAACATGTAAACCATTTACAAGTGTGAAAGTTTCACTCATTCACGATCATGGAGATCGCTAACTCCATATTGGCTTGGAACCATGACTGGATATTTGGTATGGTGGTAAGAATCCAACTTAAAAGAGATTGAACCCGCCCTTGATGAGTGCCATTTATGGCACTCATTTGATGAGTATTTAGGTTGTTTTTACCTTCCTTTCATAGCTTTCTTCTTAATAAATGCTTAGTTTTATGCATTTTTTCTTTTTTCCCTTTTTCTTTCTTGTTTTGTGTTTTTATGGTTTTTTTTTTTGTGTTTTCTCCTTTTTTTGTGGTTGTAGGTATTGTACGAGGTTCAGGTCTTGATAATGGTGGTTTTTTTAAGTTGGAAGATGCTTTTGGAGTAAGCTCATTGACAGGGTAAAGTCGTATCCCCTAATCAAAAGTAATACCTAAATCCTCTAACTAATGTAGATAGGGAAGTAGGGTCGAACTCCACAGGGAAACAAGTCTTTTTACTCCTAATTATTTATTATAATCTAAATTATCTAAGTAACCAAAATTTTTGGGAATAAATTCTATACTACGAAGAATAAGTTTAGGGAGAAAAGAAACAATAATAAGGAAGCCTAGGGTCACAAGTTCACCAATAATTAATATTCCGGGATAAAACGAAGTAATTAATAATTAACAATGCACAAATAACATGATTAACAGGCTCTCGCAATTTATTAATCAACATAGATCTAACAGCTCTCGCAATTTACTAGATCTAAGTTCTTATTGAAAATAGCCTATAATATTAAATTAACATCTGCTCGATTCATCAATTCAATATTGCTAAACATTTACAATCAAATTACATCTGCTCGATTCATAATCTAATTGCAAAGAATTAAAACAATTCAATAAGAAATTATCATGCAATACCAATAATCAATAATAACAAATTATCCCTTCATATTAATTATGGATCCTCATAAACCCTAGAATGAAATTACTCATGCATCATCATAACTAAACTAATCAAATAATTAAATAAAAGCATAATCAAAGAAGCAAGTAAAATAGCTGAAATTAAAAGGGAAGAAATTGTTACCAAAAGAAAACTGGATTAATGGAAGTAATTAAGAACAAAAGTTGAGAGAGAATTTAAGAGAGAGAAAATATTCTAAGTAGAGAGAGAAAGTCAAAGAAAGAAGGTAATCTAAAAATCCGTACAAAAATCATACTTAAACGTTTTTCTAAAACAAAGATTAAGGCTAACTAATCAGGTCCTACAAAAAACGCGCGCCCGATCGGGCGAAGGGCCGCCCGATCGGGTGAAGGGCCGCCCGATCGGGCCCGCCTTTTTCTTCGCGTTCCTTCCCATCAGCGTCGTCCGATCGTGCTAGAGGCTCGCACGATCGGGCGCGCTATAAGCCACGCACAGCACTAGAGCGCCGCGCCCGATCGTGCTAGAGGTTGCCCAATCGGGCCCTTGCTTCACTTTGAGGCTCGGACTTTGATTGGGCTTGATTTCTCGGCCCAATCCGGATTTCCTCTTCGGGTCTTGAATACTCGGTCCAAAGACTCGGGATTCCAATTACCGAGCCCTTAATCATCGGCTCTCACCGATCCTGGGCTCCAAAAGTGGTCGTGTCCTTCTAGCTTCTGTAGTTGATCCATAAAGCCCGGGAAAATGCTCCAAGAGTGCAATTTCCTGTAAAATACAACTAAAACTACAAAAACACTAGAACACACAAATAGTAATAAAAGTGGCCCGAAAGAGCCAAAAACACTACTAATAACGACCAAGGGACGGGGGTAAAAGACTATATAAAATGAACATATCACTCATAGCATTGGGAAAGCTCAAGATGTAAGGAAGTCAATGCTCCAAGTTTTAGCTATTGCGCTCTCAAGCTGTACTTGATATGTCCAATTTATATAGTGTTTTACCCCCGTCCCTTGGTCATAATTAGTAGTGTTTTTAGCTCTTTAGAGCCACTTTTATTACTAATTTGTGTTTTCTAGTGTTTTTGTAGTTTTGCTTGAGTTTTGTAGGAAATTGCACATTTGGAGCGTTTTCTGGGTTTTTTCATGAAGCAACTACAAGCATTAGGAGGACACGACCGTCTTTGAAGACTAGGACCGGTTAGAGCCGGTGATTAAGGGCTCGGTATGTGATACCAGGGCATTTTGATCAAGTATTCAAGAACCGAAGAGGAAATCCGGATTGGGCCGAAGAATCGAGCCCAATCGAAGTCCAAGCCTCGAAGAAGAAGTCGGGCCCGATCGGGCAAGCTTACGCCCGATCGGGCGGGCGCGCACAAGAAGCATCAGTAAGAAGGCGCGCCCGATCGGGTGAGCGTAAGCTCGATCGGGCGCGGCTGCCCAAGAAGAGCGAGGAAAAAAAGGCGGGCTCGATCGGGCGGCCCTTCGCCCGATCGGGCACTTGTTTTTGGAAGTTGAAGTCTTAGTTTTCAATTAGGTTTGTTTTAGGGATGTTTAGGTACGATTTTTGTACGTAATTTTGATTACCTCTCTTTTATACTTTCTCTCTCTACTTAGAATATTTTCTCTCTCTTAAATTGTCTCAACTTTGTTCTTAATTCCATTTCTTAATCCAGATTTCTTTTGGTAACACTTTCTTCTCTTTTAATTTCAGTTATTTTCTCTAATTCTTTCATCATGTCTTGTTTTATTGTTTTGGTTAGTTTAGATTTAATTATGCTTGAGTAGTTTTATTTCTAGGGTTTATGGGGATCTAATAAGTAATATGAAGGGGTAATTTGTGATTGTTGATTATCAATGCTTGATTAATTTCCTATTGATTGATTTAATTCTATGCAATTAGGTTTAGCCAGATTTAATTGTATGAGTTTAGCAATATTAATTCGAGATTCGAGAGATGAGAATTGATGTTTAGGCTTAGTTTCAATAGGCGGACTAATTTATAAATGGTTAAGTCGAGATTCGAGAGATGAGATTTAATGCCGG